ACCTCATAATATGGTGGGACGAGTCATTTGGTTAAGTTAGAGTAAAGTCCGATCTCTAGAACTACCCAAAACACCAACCACTCCAATTAGGAACGAACAGCCTTTGAACTTGAATTGTCCAATTTCTTACTCCAATTGATTTCGGATCGAGCAAAAAACTTGGGCAACCTCATAATATGGTGGGAGGAGTCATTTGGTTAGTTTTGAGTGAAATCCGATCTCTTGAACTATGGAATACACCAACCACCCCGATTTGGAACGAACTGCCTCCGAACATAAATTGTGCAATTTCTTACAACTATTGATTTCGGATCGAGCCCAAAACCTGGGAAACAACATGATATGGTGGGAGGAGTCATTTGGTTAAGTTTGAGTGAAATCCGATCTCTAGAACTACCCAAAACACCAACCACTCCAATTAGGAACGAACTGCCTTTGAACTTGAATTGTCCAACTTCTTACACCTATTGATTTCGGATCGAGCCAAAAACTAGGGCAACATCATAATATGGTGGGGGGAGTCATTTTCTTAAGTTTGAGTGAAATCCAATCTCTAGAACTACCCAAAAAACCAACCACTCCAATTAGGAACGAACTGCCTTTGAACCTGAATTGTCCAATTTCTTACACCAATTGATTTTGGATCAAACCCAAAACTTGGGCAACATCATAATATGGTGGGAGGAGTCATTTGGTTAATTTTGAGTGAAATCCAATCTCTAGAACTACCCAAAACACCAACCACTCCAAATAGGAACGAACTGCCTTCCAACTTGAATTGTCCAATTTCTTACACCTATTGATTTCGGATCAACCCCAAAACTAGGGCAACATCATAATATGGTGGGAGGAGTCATTTGGTTAGTTTTGAGTGAAATCCGATCTGTAGAACTATGGAATACACCAACCACAACGATTAGGAACGAACTGCCTTTGAACTTGAATTGTCCAATTTCTTAAACCTATTGATTTCGGATCGAGCCCAAAACTTGGGCAACATCAT